GAGTGCAAAGTGTGTAATGGTTTCACATGTGTCACTGTACATTTCTCAGTCTGTACAAACCGAAGGCATTCAAAGGTGAAAGCTGTGTTACTTTCTATTGCCCTAGACAGAATTTCATGTGGATTGAGGAAATAGAGAAAGAACAACATTCAGTAAAGAAAGTAAAACAATGCTTAAATTAATTGAATGGGGCAGTCACCTGGAGGTCTGGCTGCATGCCTAAATAAAGAGTTGCCTCAGGTGACATAGCGAAGAGAAATAAAGGAGGAAATAAATTCATCCAGACATTTTTATTATGTTGATCATATTGTAGCCTCAGTCTCAGGCTGTAGGTCTGCAATGGTGTTATAATTTGAAATGAGTTTGAGTCCTCTAAATCTTTAAATGAAGGGGAAAATCAGTATCCATCAGAAATGATGTAATGGTTAACAGTTTATATGGTCTACAGCATGTGGATGGTGACCCTAAAATTCGTTTTTTTTTATAAATAAAAAATGTATACTGGAAGCTTCGTTTTAATATATTATGATATGGCTTTAGGAAAATCAATAAAAACAGCTGTTCCTAGCCCTACAATTTTTTAAGGTAAGACTAATCATGTGACTGTGAATATCTGTGGCGGAATTGAGTGTGAAGTGCCTGCAAATCGTGCAAGAGGTTCATTCCCAGCTAATGTTACCATGGTGGATGCTGGAGGCAGCGACTACGTCAAAGAGCACTTAAAACATGCTCAGCCACATTTCTGATCCCTCTGTACGCCTCCCTCGTCCTTACCCCTCCCTCCTTCTTCTCCTCCATCCCCCCCACGTTCCCTTAGGAAGAAAACTGGGCAACATCTGGCTGAGTTTATGAGCGAAAGAGAGAGAGAATTGGTAGACCATGAAAACTGGGGAGAATTTTTTTCTTGGGCAGTGCAGGAGTCTATTGTTGTAGTTGCCATTAGCGGCAGTGAAACTTTAATCTTGTGAAAATACCCATTGTTGCATAAAGAAATTTGACCAATAACACTGCCGATGTCAATGTTCAAATTATTGTCTTTTTGATAAAACACATGTTGCAGTTCTTGTGAAAACAACTTTTATTCAAACAGAAACGAGCTGACCGCTGCAGAACACTGTGGAAGAAGTCAAGGCTGTTAACCCCGCAGTCATGAGAGTGTCATGAAACCACACACACACACACACACACACACACACACACACACACACACACACTGTACAAAAACTGTACATGTTAGGTTAGGGCCACATGGAAACATTGTTGAAATGTTTCAGTTAAATGAAAACACAACAATACTGTACCTTATAAGTGTCACCTCAGGTCAATCTTCAGTACAGTGCTTTAAAATGCAAGTCACTTCATTATAAACAGATTAGCCACTCAAATTCACAGGAACAATAAATAGACAATATAATACATCATCGTCAGCATAAGAAGTCACACACAGCTAAAAAAAAAAAAAAAAAAAAAAAAAAGTGGCACTCGAGACTGTTAGAGTAGAAAAGCAAACAGAACATGATATTGGTTCATTAAACAAATGCACAGCAGGCTAAAAGAACACAAGGAGAAACGTAAAAACAGACTTTTCTTACAGTAAGCTGGCTGATTTCGAGGTCAGCTGAGTTTCCGTCCATTTTAATAAAGGTCCTGATGTTTTTTTTAGAGAAGATGTAAGCTGAGCCTCAAACTGTTTTTTGTGGGGCATCTTAAAGCCCAAATTCACTTTTCTTGTTGATCTCTCCGCAGGAACTGGGAGACCGTCAGTTGACTGAATAGTCCAAACAATTCAGACGCAGTCCCATTGCAGTAATTTGTTTCAGCAGACAGGGTTGTCTCCTTTGGCACGGTACATTGAGAAGGTCTCTGTGGATTGTAGATTTTGAGGTCCATGTTGTGATATTTACAGCAGTTCACTGTTTAGCTGCAGATGTAAACACATTCATGCCATCATAAACCAGTCCAGGATTGGCATGGGTTTACGGTTAGTTCCACTGGCTCAGCTTAGCCACACTGGTAGTCGACAGCGGTGGAGTGATTGTCGCTTGATATGGAGCCAGAACTCTGTAGCACTGCAGTACTGTAAATGAATCCAGCTCCCAGTCTATTGAAAACATGCAGGGAAATGAAGGCAGTGGACCGCTTGCCAATACCTTGAAGCTCCACGCTGATGACTGATGCTCTGCTGAGGGACATTCACCCACAATGGGCTTAAGTACTCAGAGAGCCAATGTGTTTGTCAGTGAAGGAGACATTCATTGGTAAGATGGAGAATTTGTGACTGGCTATACTTGACCACATTACATTGAAATGCTGGGTCCTGGAGGATGTGTATATCAGTTTATATATAGTCTGATTGCCAAGATGGTGGGGAGATTTGGGCTGCTTGACTGTGTGCACTTGAGTTCGTAGCTGTTGAACATCTTGGTACCTGGCTCTACAAGCAGCTGTGGAGAGAAACATTGAGAAAAAAATGTCAGTATGGCAACCACAAAGAATGAAAAACAAAGGGATTTGAAGATGCATCATTTAACCAAGGGTCTTAAGTTGTTTTTAATTTCCTCTGTCGTCTCTTAAAAGGTTACATCATATGAATAAATTTTTTAGTAATGGACAAATCTCAGAACACTCAGGTCCAGAGTAGATATTTAGTTTTCTTTGCCTTAGGTTGATCATTTTCCTCCTCTAGCTCTTTGGCAAGCCTCCAGAGCTTCTTAAGAATGCCCTAAATGCAGCTGGAAGCAGCCCAAACATCAAGTGCTCATTAATAAAGAGAAAAAAAAAAATCTATCGGAATGTGTCTTTTATTCAGGCTGCACAACAGTCAGCAACTACTCACTCCTGCAGGTTAGGTTAGGGGAAAAAAAAAGGAAACAATGATGTATGTCTAGCTTGCTGGGGGCGCCTCATTGGCTGAGCAAACAGGCCCCAAAATAACTACCAATCACTGAAGACGTTATCATCAGTCACCCAGAGAGGTTCATAGTAAAGGAACTTAAATAAAAAAACACTATGTTGGGGGACCAGAGTAAATCACAGGTAAAGTTGGGGAATAAGTTGTGGAGAGATGATTTGACCCGCTACAACTTTATCATAAGGGGATTAGACATACTTCATTTATGGTTGCATCTTACTTTAGAATGTGTTGTGTATAAAGAGGAATGTCAAATTGGTTTGTCCAGTTGTGCAGAGCTGCTCACAGTCTTCCTGTCTCACTCTGATTGGCTGCCATACAGAGAGGGATCATCCATTACAGCTATGAGTAAATAAACATGCACAGCAATTATAGTGCCAGTGCCATCATTTGTTATGCAACACAGGGCGTGAATGTGTACATGTGACCAAATCCAAATCGCATGGACGCAATTGTGTGTGTGAATTTGTGCATGTGTGTGAGGACGCCATTCTCAGGTTTCTTCGCCGTCGTCTGCACTTTAATAAATGATTTGGGGGGGCCAGAGAATCAACAAATATGGCCCCCGGCAGGGCGTAATGGAGTGCATGACCTGCCTGTGGATGTGTTTGAAGAGTGCTCCTCTTTCTTCTCTGTCAACACCTCACTACCTCCACACAACAGACGCATTCACTACACAAACTCACGTGTGACGCCTGTGTTCTTGTTGTTAATGAGGAAGTGTGTGTCACTTTATGCAGTCACGAATGTGTGTACGCTTATCAGCCTGTGATTATTTTTTAATGTCAGCATGTTGTGACAAGAGTGTTAAAATCAAATGGAATCTTGTGTGCCTGAGTGTAAGTCCTGCATTTGTGACCATGATTATGCCCGCTTTAGAAACATGTGACAAAGAAAAGCATATTATGTTCGCCAGTAAAGCTACAACTGCGTTCCAGATAATTTATTGAGCTCAAATGGCTCCGACAGGCTGCTTTAAATCTTTTCAGTCCAAAGGTCGTTGTCCATAATTTTCTGCATCATCAGCTGCTAAAGACTAAATGAAAAAAAAAAAAAAAAACAGTTGTATTCATACTGCAGTGCACAAAAGAGAACAGTTTTACAAGTTATAGCACTTCACTGTTCTGTAACTGATTAACAGAAAATGTTGAAATATGTACAGCAAGATTGAAAGCAACTGAAATCAAACCCTGTTGTTGTGCTGACAATTCCTTTATATGACTCATTCTAGTTGACATTTTTCCAGTGTTGGAATGATGTTTAATATAAAATTCCTGCTTACAATTTTTCTTTAGCCAACAGCACACGAGAAAGGAGATTTGACACAAAGTCTTAAACACACATGGAGGTTTCATTTATCACACAGACAGTGACCATGTGCAGCCGTTTGGCTGTAGTAAGACTGTATGGTTAGGAATGTAGGAATATATTTCACTGTAATACTTAAATCACAACCCGAATCTTCACAGGAACAACTACTAATAAAACATACAAGATCACTTGAAACTCCAGCTTCAGACCAGATGCAACCCTCCTGTTATCATGTGGAGCCACTTCACTTGAAGTAGGTTCACTGGCAGGGAAAAAAAAGCCCCTTTGCTAATGGACTTTTTCACATAGATGCATGTATGCACATACATATAACTGTTTCTCCTGAGTGTTTTTCACATTAAGATATTGTGCATTACCATATTAAATCCAAACATGCTGCCATATGAAAGCCTAAAATCAAATTTCAAATTATAATTTCCCTCTCTCGTGCAGCACCCAGCCATCATCTCCTTCCAACTCCAATCAGCCATTCCTATCTGCTACTCCCTGCGTAACCCCCGTTCTCCTCCCCACTCCTCCACTCTCAGTGTGCTTGATGGTGGGACTGGACAGGGTGAGCACTTTCTCATATTAATACTAGTTGAGCCTGCGTCTGGAGACAGGAAATGATTGACTTATCAAAATTTGCAAAGGACCTCTGCAAAAACAGAGGTCTAGTTGAGGTGAATTAAATCATTTATTCTCCCTGGTAGGCTTGTGTTATGTAACGTGTTCAATATGTGACAAGCATCGTGAATCTTTGTACACAAAATATCAGGTCAAAGTAGAAAGATAATCTTAATGAGCCTGTAAGGTGTCTATTTTGTTGGTCCACCTGTATTTCTTCCAAAACTTTGACTTTGTCATTCTGTCTAAGTCACAGGGATTGGATGTCAAGCCTGAGAGTCTGGATGTGAGCAGCTGAAGCCCTTCTTTTCTTTAAGTGCTACTAATATAAACTGCCTGTTAAACGGATGCAGAGTTTTTGGACCACCAGTGGTAAAGTGCTGCTCTTTCACTTGGAATTACCCCTGTGGTTGGTGTCTTTTCACTCCTACAGAAAAAAGAAAAACACACCAAATTGAATTACCAGTACAACGATTGGTACACCACACCCCCACCGACCCAACCTTACCTGGCCTCACCACACTCCACCAAGAGGAGAGATGTAAAACAAGCCATTTTGTGGTATGAAGGGGCAGACATTGGGTTCAAATGCAGGAAGAGAGAAGTGACAGTAGCGACATGGCTGGCCTTCTCACTGTTTTGTCTAAACAGTAATACGTCTTTGTTTTTGTTGAGATTTTTTGTGATTGCAAGCCTAGAATGTGACTACATAAAAATATTGTGTATTTGATAAAAATAGTGTATTTAACCTCTAAAAAAGTCATATGATAAGCAAATTTGATTAATATCTTTTAAAATAAATATCACACAGAACGCTTCCCTCATCACATGCCTGAATTATTGAATGCAATGAGTGGATGAATGCTGATTTAAAACCTAACTGACAGTAAACAACAAATCATGCAGCCATTTTATTGCTCTACAGCAAGGTAGCATCTTACAGAACACATGATCAAAATATATATACAATTTTAAAATGAACTAGTCCCAGGTTAGAAATCCCATTTGCTAAGAACTCAGGGGTAATGATGGGTAAAAAAGTTCAGTGGGCACAACCCTATTCAATCATTTGAAATAGATGTTGGAGACCTTTAAAAAGTAAAAGATACATTAAGCCATACAAAGGAGCAAGAACATCTTCGCTGCAACAATTGCTTCAAGAGCCCGCTCTTTCTTCCTCACTTTTTCCCTTTTCCCCTTTCGCTTTCTTTTTTTTTTCCCCTCTACCTGACTTTTACAACTTCCTCCTGGTTGGGGCTGCAGCTCTAACCCAAACAAAACTCCATTTTTTAGTTATTGGCCCTCATGGCATGTAATGGAGAATCAAGCTAATTATCCCTACAGCTGTTTTCACTTGCTTTTTATGTAAGCAATACCTGGCTGATCCAGAGAGCAACAGTGAGGCCCTTCTTAGCGCTCCAGGCCTCCAGGCCGGCTGGAATTAGAGAGTAAAATGCCAGGTTTTTGTCCTCCTCCCCCCGATCCTGCCCGTGTGTACCACTGCACCCATCTCCCAGCACACAACCCAGCTCCACACAACCCCCCCCCCCCCCCCCCCACACCAAAAGCTTCCATTTCCACTCCCTCATACACCTTCCAAAGCTCCCCCTTTGATGTTACACAAAGCTGCTCTTCAACAATTAAGATGACAAGCGCTCATTTTCTTCTTCTGATGGTCTTAGCAATTAATGAATGAGGTGAGCGAGGGTGTGTCATGAATTTAAATTGCAACCATCTCCTGCTGTCATAGAACTAAAAGTAGAGAGAGAGGGTGCAAAAAAAAAAAAAAAGAGTCAGGGAAAGACAGACAGAAGGGTAAAGGCAGAGAGAGGGGGAGAGGGGAGTAAAGAGTGAAAGAAAACAATCCCTCAAAGGCTAATTACATAATTTCCTTCATCTGAACAAACACATGCTGGGTGAAAGCAAGTGTGAGCAAGTCTCACAGATGCCAGTCCAAGAGGTGCTAAGGAGCCCTACTAACGCACTCTACTCCCTGTCAATGGACAGCCTATGCCACCAAAGAACTGAGCAAGATCTCAGAGGCAGCATTATCTGCACCATTTGTAGCCTTTGAGGGATTCATATCCAAAACCTCAGTATTTATCCTCCCTTCTCCAGAAATCTCTGGGTAAAGAGACTTTCTGCAGATGAACAATTCCTGGTGTAATGTTTCCCTCATTACAGTTTGTTCTGACCTGCAGCCAGAAATCTGTTTAGTCCTATCACCACTAGGTGGAGTTGACTGTTGATGAAAAAAAGAAAGAAAATCTCATGTATCAAACTCATTAAACTCCCATGGAGAGGCAGCATGCATCTGTAAGTGAGTCAGACAAAGTCTTTGCTTCACATGGGCCTTTTCCGGGCTTTCCTCTTGTTCAAACTCTGCTTCACTAGCATGCATCAACTCTTCATATACCTCCTCAACCGACAGAGACAGAGAAAGGAGACAGGTAGCAATTTTTAAACTTTTATTATGCTAGCTAAATTGCTGTTAAGTCTCTGTCATACACATAAAGCAAAAGATCAATCCCTCCCTTGAACTCTACCCCTCTCCCTTTCCCTTTCTTTCTCTTTTTTTTTTTTGTCTCTAATCCT